GCCGCCGGCGCCGCTCGCCTCATCTGGGGAGAGACCCGTCCCCGCTGCTCCCCCACTCGGCTCCCCAACGGCCTCTTCCCCGCCCCCAGCCAACCCTCCTCTGCGCCGACTTTTGCTACATCCCTGTGCTGCTCCCCCACCTGCCCCTCCACCACCCCCTCCGGCTTTCCCAGCTCAGCCTCTGCACCAACTTTATCTGGCGAGAGCCTGCCCCTGCTGCTCTCCTGTGCTGCTTCCCAACTGCCCCTACTGCCGTGTTGCACCCCCCCTTTACTGCCTTGCACTACCCCCATACTGCTCAGATACCATTCCCTACTGCTTGCACCGCACCCCAGTCAGTCCCCAGCCTTGCCCTTCCCCCATACTGCTCAGATACCATTCCCTACTGCTTGCACCGCACCCCAGTCAGTCCCCCGCCTCCTGCAACCACTGCACCAACTTCAGCTGGTGACAGAGCTTTCCTTGCTGTACCTCGGCACTGCACCTGCCGTACAACCCCTCTACTGCTCCTGTACTGTCTCTGCCTTACTATCCTTGCTATATCCCCCAGTAACTGCTCCTATACCACTCCATGCTGTCGGTGCTATGTTGCCCACTGCTGCTTCTCTACTGCTTTGTACCACTCCTGTACTGCTCCCATAGTACCCCCACTATATGCTCTGTACTCCTCCCATATTACCCCTATCTCCTCCCATACCATTCCCATACTGCCTCTGCTGTATCACCCTGCTGCTTACACTGTCCCCCAGCTAACCCCTCTCTTGGACCCACTTCACCATCTTCATCGGGTCAGAGACCTTGCCAGTACTATACCCCCCCATAATGCTTCCATGCTGCTCTTATATAATCCCATATGACACCCTACTGATTCTACCTACCTACCTACCAGCTCCCCTGTTGCATGCAGCCACTGCACTGACTTCATCTGATGAAGGAGCCTCCCTGCTGTACCACTCTCATGCCTCTCCCTTGCTGCCTCATACTGCTCTTTCCAACACGCCAGCCAGCCCCACTCCTGCAGCCACTGCATCCACTTCATCTAGTGAGATACTGTACCTTGCTCCTGAACTGTCCCAACACCACCCCTGTACTGCTTCCAAATTCCCTATATATCACCCCTAAACTGTTCCCTGTTCCCCCAGCCAACTTCCCTCTTGCAGCCACTGCACTGACTTCATCTGGTGAGAGACTCCCTGCCCCATTCTTGTACTCTCTTGTACTCCATACTGTTCCTTGCTACCGTCACCACTCTCGTCCCCCAGTCTACACCCCTCCTGAAAACACTGCATGTACTTATCTGCCGACACACCCCGGTACTGCTCCCTGCTGCTTCCACTTGCCAACCTCCCTCCTGTCCTCATTGCACTCACTTAATCTGGTGAGACCCCACCTACTCTGCTCTTCTACTGCCCTTATACTACCCCTATATCTTTCCTGCTGCCTTTACCATCCCTGCCGCCCCAGCAAGTATTCCTCCTGCAGCTACTGCACCTACTTTCTTTAATGAGAGACCCCATATCTGCTCCTGTACTGCCCCTATATCACCTCTGTACTGCTTCTTGCTGCTTACTATGACCCTAAACTGCCCCTGGTTTCTATACTGTGGCGGCAGGCAAATTCTGACTCTCAAGCCAGATCCAGTTTGTCAGAGTTAGCCCCTGGAGGGTTGGCCCTGCTGTATTTACCTGCGCCTCCAGGTGGCTGTGTATTGCTGATTTCGGCCAATGGGAGAGGTGGGAAGTGGTGTCTCAGTCTGTGCCGTTTCCCGCAACACTCATTGGCCGGGAATAGCGATCCGTGGCCAATGGTAGTTGTAATCTCCCGTGCCTGTGGAGGCATGAGAAAATACAGCAGTGGTGGCCTGCCAGGGGTCAACCCTGGAGAACCATCACTTTCATGCCCACCCCTGTTATACTGCCTCATCCTTTCAGCCAGCCCCCTTCCTGCAGGCATTAGTGTCATCATCTAGTGAGAGACCCTGCTATATTGCCCCTATGCCATTCCCTCCTGCAGCCATTGCACTGACTTTTGGTGAGGGACAGCCCTATGGACCACACTTCCTGCATTACCCTCCCTCCCCTCAGACACTGTCCTGTTAGCCAGCCCACTTCCTACAGCCGCTGCACTGACTTCATCTGATGGGACCCGCCTTCCTCTCCCGCTACCATAACTGTAACATCTGTCTTTCCCCCCTGATTTGGGATGCCCCATGAGCTACCCACATCAGCCAGTGCACTTTATGCTGCTGCTGCACTTTATTTAATTTGGTGAGAGACTCTACTATGCTATTTGTACCTTGCCCTGTTACCACACCTTTTCTAGGGAGGAATTCCTCCATGCCATGCGCCTTTCCCCATATCTGATCACTTAGTGCCGCCCCACTGCACTCATTTAGTTTGTGACCTTCCCACCGCCCCCATGTTGCCTCCAACCCAACATACCTATGTATTCACCCCTGTTGCTCAGCACACCTTCTGTAGCTAGTACACTAACTTAATTTGCCAACTTCCTCCCAGTAGCTCACCTATGCGAACACACTTTGTCCGCTTCCTGCAGCCACTGGTGGCCCTAACGGTGGACTCCCCTAGCTTGAACTCTGGGGGGAAAATTCTACATCACCTCTCATACGCTTTAATCTGTAGCATAATGTACATGCACCCTTGTTTTGCAACCATTGCACTTCATTTAGTGAGCCTCTTGGGGACCTAGGCTCTTTGGGAGCCCCTGGGAAATGACCTGGAGTCTCTAGGGCAAGAAATTCCCTGGAGTCCTCAGGTATGCACCCACCCTTTTGTCTGCAGCCACAGGATCAATTTAATCCTGGGGATTACTGCTTGGACTATCCTCTGTCTCTGAAACATCTATTTCCTTATCATGATACACCCCATCTCCTCCAGACAACCGTATGTGCTTATGCTTCCTCCACCAATCCAAGTTGTGCTGTCGCTTCACTGATTTCATTTGCTGAGTCTCCCAGATGTGCTTACTTGATCCTCATTGGCATAGGTACATCTAATCTCTTACTACTCAGATTCTGCAGTCACTGATTTAATCTGGTAAAGGCCCTCCCCACTTTCTAGAGTTTGTACCATTCTCCAGTGACTCAGAAAAACTTTTGCTGCCTTTTCATTATTTTTGTGATAGTTGATGTTCTTGTGTTCCCTGTTGCTGCCTGTGGAGGGCAGGGATACTAGAAAATACATTGCGTACAGTGATTACCAAGGATATGCTGTTGAGAGAAAGGGAAGAATATAATCACATTAGAAATCTGCTTTGGCTTTTAAAGCTGCTTTTAAAGCTTGACCTGAACCCAGCCTGGGCATGGCTGCTCCAAACCTGAGCCGAATATGTTGAGTTCTCTTTAGGTACAACCTGGACCCAACACTTCCCTCAAAACTGGTATCAGGGTTGCCTTCACCATGTCCCTGGGCTTGTTTGGGTAGTGGTTTCATGCTTTTCATGTCTGTGAATCATCTCTGGCTGCCTCCTGCCAATAGGGTCAGTACAGTGGCAGGTGTGTCCCCTGCCACTGCTGCCTTGCTGCGCTGTGAGCGAGATGCATGGTGACTCATGAGTGCGCTCTGTCGCATACACAGCATAGTGAGGTGGTGGTGATGGGCAGGAGAGAGGCATGCAGCTGCTGCAGCACTGATCATTCCTCCTGCCTGTGAGGTTAGAGGCTACTTGACTAGACCTGAATCTGAAAGAGCTGGGTGGTTTTTTTTTTTTTTTTTAGACTCAATCTGACACTTGTGCTAGAGTCCCATTACGCTTGTAGCAGTTTGCAAAGCTCTTTAACAAACTGTTCAAGATCCAGGAACAAAAACTGAATTGTTGGTCCCTAACGTGTTCTCATCCAAGAGGCATACCCAGCTCACTCATAAGGTTGGCCAGACAGAGGAGTTGGAATGTGTGCTTGCATGTGGTTGGCTTAGCTGCATCCTATACCCTCCGCTCAACAAGGCAGATATGAGTAGATGTGCAAACTGATTTATCAGATCCTGAGTTGGGTGAGGCAGTGGGAATGGGTGGAGCACTTGGCTCACTTGTAAATTATATGTATTTATGTGCTTCCTTCTTTTAATATTGCATCCTACGACTTGTGTGGAGAGAGGAAAGACTTAAGGGCTTGATCTTCACATTTGTGGAGCACCCACTTTTTCCCACTATCAGTAAGAGCAGTGGGTGGTGATGAGACAACTGCTGAAAGTAAGGCCTGTTGTTCATTGGGGCTCAGCAGTGTGAGAAGATTTTAAGGGGAATGCAGCAACTGACTGAATGTACACTGTGTTTGTCTGGCTCCTTCAGCTTGCATGTTTGTGACTGAGCGGCATGGCCCTTGGCGTAAAGTTCATTCTCAATTTCTCTTTTTATAGTGCATGTTGTAGCTTGGATGCTATGGAAGAGAGAGACTGATTCTATTAGTGCAAACAGTAAAGCAAGTGAGGGGAACATGCAACAAAATTGGAATTCTAAGGGGCGAGGAGTGAGTTAAATGGACATAGGCAGACTGTAGATGGATGTAAAAGGGAAAAATAAAATCTGGCTTCTCACACACTATCACAGTTTGAGGGAAATTGTAAGACCCTTTTTTGTAAAAGTGCAAGAATTTAAAATGTGCTCCACAATAAATCTAAGAAGAATGAGACTTGGCAGGTATGAAAGAATGCTGCAGGGTTATTGTCAGCATGTATTGGTACAGATAAATAATGCAGTGTTAAAAAACAATACTGTCATGATAAAAGGCACCTGATTACAGGATGTATTTGAAAGTGAAAGGATATCCTGTTGTTGACAGGTGGTAAGAGTAGCGTACGCTCTGATCTTTCCTTGCTAGTAAGTCTAGGAAGCTCTTAAATGTTCTTCAAAGACAGCATGCAGCAATTTCAGTACATTATTTTTCATGATTGTTTTAAAGTAAGATGAAATACTGGGTGCTTTTGCACCAAAAACATGGCAAGTACAGCGTTTTCAGAGGTAATTAAATGGATGTTTAACAATTGCATTCCCGTAACAATTTCCAGTAAAAATAAAGAATGTGACTATTACTAAACTTTAGAAAGTGTGAATAAAGAACATGTAATATTTCAGTGGGATTAAGTTCCTCTGCAAATTTGTCTGGGGTTTTGCTATTGCTTTTCAAAATGAAATTTGATTATCTTAATATCAAACAAAATCAGTACAAACCATGAAGAAACGATGCATTTTCAGTTTGGCTGTTCAGAGAACACTGTTGTGTTGAAATCTAATCACCTAACAAAATAAGAAACAACCTAAAAAGTAGTTTCAGGTTCTGTGATCAGCCTTAGTTTTGTCTGTTTCAGTGGTTTTAAAATTGCTTTTGTATATTTTAGAAAAACAAAATCAGATTTTCTCTCTTTGTGTTGTGGAGTGAGAGACCCACACAAACAGGGAATTAGTGAAAAGACTGTATGCAAAGTATTGTCAAATGTACTCAGAGTAAATAAGCAAATGCAGTTTCATAATTTTTCAAGGACCATGATCTTACCGTTTGTAATAACAGTACAAGAACAGTTTCAGATAAAACTGTAACTTTTTTGTAAAGTTGGATATCGCTTTTACGTCAACTTTGATTTGAAGTAAATGTGAAGTACATTTTTTACTGAAGTAACATACGTTTTTTCCAACCATTTTTTCCTTAAATCACAATAAATGTTTAAATGTTGTTGTTTAATCATAAATGGTGTAACTGAATTCCCCACAGTTGTGTCTAATGGGAGGTATATTCAGTTTAAAGCTTTTTGCTGGCTGTTTGTCTTTGTAATTTGGTTTTTGTTTTTCTCTCAGTATAAACTCTTGTAGCTACTATCTCAGATAAAAGACATCCTCAAAAGAGACTGAAGAGAGAGTGTCTAAATGAGGACTCATAACATTTGTTTTTGTTGATTGGGAGAGAGCACTCAATGTCAAAATGAAAAATTAACTGGTGTTTTGAGAGAGATTTTAATAATATTAATAAAGTCTGGGTACCATCGCTAATACTATGTCCATATTTTAATCCTCATTCCAAACAATAATAACTTATTAAAATAATGTATTTTAAAAAGATTAGAAGTACAATAAATATTAAAGCCATGGCCATTATTAATTTATTTTCCTTGTTAGGTGTTTATTATTTATAAACGCCTCAAAACACCAACTTCAAACCCTTTTCCGTACATCTGTGTTCTGATATCTGCTCTCACTGTTACATATAGTTGAATCTCATCACGCATACTAAAATTCATGTTAGAATCCATGGGTTTTTTATACCCCCCCTCTAGTAGTTGGAGTATTTTTAATATTGTAAGTATATACATGGCATGGAGTGAATTATAACATTATGTAATAGTCACAGATGACACTAATTGTGGATCCAGAATTGCCTGTAAAATAAAAATAAAATAAATGGCTGCCAGAAAATCAAATTACATAGATAGAATCAATTATAATTCTCCTCTTTGAAATAGATGGGGTAATGATTTGTTTTGTATTGGGGCAAAACCTGAAATAATGTAGTTTAGTATGAGATTTTTAGTACAGAAGGTTAGTAGGAAGAAACAATAACTGCAAATATTAAGACAGTGTTTTTTTTTTCCTTTCAGGGGATTTGGGAAACAAGGATTTCAATGCCAAGGTAAGTCTCAAGTAGTTTATTCACTGGCATATAGTGTTACACTTCATTTTAAATGTAGCCTAAGATTAAAATGTACAGAAAAGTAAACAAACATACCAGGAAAAGCCATGCAAGTAATCTGTCTTCATGTGCTTTGAAAAGGTCAAGTTATTTAATTAAGGTTTTTTAAAATATAAAATTTGAAAATCAGGAAGTTACTTTTGACAGTTTACTCAAATTAAATGTTATAATCTGCATACAGTGCAGTGTCTAACTTTTTATAGAAAAAATGTTTATGCAATTTCTATCTTACAGAGAACATTTTTGTCAGGAGGTGCTGCATATGTGGGTCTGTGAGAAAATAGAATTGCCTTTTATTCTTACGGATTTTCTTTGATGTCCAAATCTGCTTTTAGTCTTCATCCATTTTACCTAAAAATTCAGATGGAGACTGATTCCACACCCTTAGCCCCTCATCACCAGCCCAAAGCCAGACCCCTTACTCCCTCACTTTCTAAATCCTTTGGCCCAAGCCTGGAGCTCCTCGTACTCCAAACTCTTGATTCCAGCGGTTTCCCAGAGCCCACATAGACTCACAGACCTCTCACCTTTCCCACATCCTAACTCCATGCACCTACAGTTTGAACCTGGATGCACCCCCAACTCTTGCCCCAATCTCGTGACAGTAAATGAAGATGGGGAGAACGAGCTACTGAAGAAGGGGTAATATAGTGAGTGGAGGTGTGGTCTCGGAGAAGGGGTGGGGTTAGGGTGTTTCATTTTCTGTAATTAAAAATTTGACAACCCTAGTTGTAAGTTGTGTTAGGATAGTTACGTTAATATTTATTTCCTGCTACGCTCTGTTACAGCCTTTATAGACTGCAACATTGTCATATTTTTCAGTATTTATTCTGTTAGCAATAGTTTTCTTAATTTACTCTATATACTGTGTTTTTACCTTTTAATGTTTTTAATATGCATCAGTATGCTATAATTTCTTATAACTTACCTGTCCTATTGATGGTACATATGTACTTGGTAG